GCTATATATACATATATATACATGATATATAGAGAGCATATTTTATATATAATATATATAGTATATATATATATTATATATTATATATAAGCGTATATATATATATATATATATATATAATAGGTATAGTATATATATATGAATATATTATATATATATATATATATATATTATATATATAATTAATTGTGTGTGTGTGTGTGTTATATATATAATATGATAAGTGTGCGGCGCCGGGCGCGCGGCAGTGTACGCGGCGGCAAGGTGTGGGCGCGGTATTGATATATGATCTGTGTGCATATGATGTAGCATATGAAGCACAGCACAAGCACAGCACATATATATATATATATATATATACTAATTATAATATATAATATTATATATATAATATATATATATATTATATATATTTTCTTATTATATATATTATAGTGTGTACATATACATGTACATATAAACAACACACCAGCAGCATATATACTGTATATATATATATATATTTATTATTTATAGAGTAGAGAGTGAGAGAGAGATTATGGGTATGCTTGTCATAGAGAGGATTTCCGTGCTTGACGGCCATCTTAAATCACATGATTGAGGCGACATTGATGATGCTCCGTGGCGCCGTTGAATTGATCTATCATATCTAAAACGTAAACGTTGTGTCCAACAAGCGCTAGTTTTTGGGGTGATATCTCGTTCGTGGTCGTTTTTACCGTCTTATCCATCGGGCGCTCGATGTGAATTTATTCATGTCAAGAACCGTTGAAATTGATACGATGATGAAGGGTCAAATGATGAGCTGGGTTCAAGCCCTAAACTTGGTGTGTTGGGGTTTTAGAATATTAGATCAGTTCAACGGATGGCGGATATCCACAATGTCGTGGTCATGGCATGTGATTTTAGTGGCGTCAGGAATGTAAATCCGCCCATGACTAAGGATAACAGCATTATATTATATATATATTATTATTATTATATATAATTATATTAATATTATATATATATTATAATATAATGATATATATTGTATATATATATATATGATATTTATTATATTATTATAAACTGTTTGAGGTTGTGCTATCAGTTTGGGTCGGTCCGCTACGCCTGTCTCCGACGACCTAGTACGATTTGTCAATGTTCGACCGGCTTATTTTTGGTTGTCGAACTGATGCAGCTAACGCGATCGTTAGTCGACAGTTGGTTTGCAGGAGGGCTGAGGTTAGGTACGGGTCGGGTCGAATATATTATATATATATAGTAATTATTATATTTATTAATATTATATATATTATTAATATATATATATATAATATATATATATATATATATATATATATAAAATAATATATATAATGTATTTTAATCTGAGAAAAATGAGTATGCTTGGTTACAAGGGCACAAAAACAATTTATGTTTGAGGTAGTGAGGTGGGGCTAATCCTCCCTTCATTCAAATAGTGTTGGGCATAT